TTAGCACCCCTGCTATGGAGGCTATAACCTGTGGATACTTAGCAACCACAGCAGCTCGTGGAGGGGTACATCGATTAAGCTCACGATAGTCAATAGTAAGTTGCCAGGTTTTTCCATCTGCCTATAAGACTGGCCAAATTGAACTATTATTGGTACTGGGTTGGTTCAACTAGGACTTTCTGTTGCATGAGGCTCTGAATAATTTGATAAATACCAGGTTTAGCAGCTGCTGAGAACCTATATTTTTTTGAGGGGTGGATCAGGACCCTTTTTGGAGGTGTCTACTCTGCCATATTCCAACTTATTGTGTGCCCAGACTGTAGGAACTGTGTTAAAAATGGCCTGGACATCCATAGGCCACTCCGGCCATACCAAGTTTTCCTCAGCTAAAAGCAGCACCGCGGTGTGCTGCTGAAATGACGTGCACATCTGGATCAGTGGTTGGGCAGTTATATTCTGATTGAACTAAAAATGACATTATTGACCAAATCCACCACTGCATGGAGTTGGCACTGGGCCTCTGCCCCTAAGATTCCTTGCCCTCCTAGTGGTGTGAGAGCAACAGCACACTGGGCCTCGGGTAGGCAGACATGTCTTCCCACCCAAAATCTCAGGGGTTGGTTAAAGGTGCCACAGTAACCTTGCCATTAAAGCGTTCTAGGGCTTGCGTTTTGAGGCCTTTCAGTGGGGAAGTCGGGAGGCCTTCACAACTAATGATGGAGATGGAAGCACCTGTGTCTAGTAGCATTGTTTGCTGTCTCAGTGTCCCCTGAGATGGTCGTTCTTCCCAGAACACCTCAACCTCTGGCTGAACCCACTGATTAAAAGTTACCGGCGCCAATTCATTCAGGGGTTGGACCGAGGAAACAGGGCAGTCCTAATATGGCTGGTCACTATGGTTACATGCTTCCCTTTCATGAGACCTGTGGCCCTTCTCTTCCTCTTCCTGATGGCACGTGAGCCGGTTAAGCAGTTCTGATGTGGGAAGCCTATCGATTGCCTCCTGGGGCTCATACTTTAACAACTGCCTCCACACCTCTGATTACTATAGCGACTGACTGACAGAGCAGCAGGGATCCTGGTTTTCCCTGATGAAAAGTCACAAATTCTATGATAAAAAACCCAAAATGCATGATAAAAATTAAAGGCCCCCCCACAGCCCCACTAGTGCCCCTCACTCTCCCACAACAGCCCCCAGCCCCACACACACACAGGCACACAGATAAACCACACAAACAGACACACACACCCCCCTCAGCAGATAGATGTGTGTGGGGGGACGGGGGAGAAAGGAAGGGGTTGGGGGGGCAGATTGAGAATGGGGGAAGAAGAGTCCATCTCTGCGCCTGTTTCCAGGAAGCAGGGGGGGTGGGCAGCAAGGGCAGCGGTGTCCCCCTGCAGGTCACACACGTGCCACCTGGCCAGGAAGGAGGGAAGCTCGTACACGGCAGCCACCACTACATCACCACTCCTGGGCCCTGAGGGAGTGAGGATGTGTTGGGGGAAGACATGGAGTGCCTGCCGGCCGGTGGGCACTCCTGGTGGAGGTTTCCCCAACACCTTCCCCTCCCTTAGCCTGGGCAGGCAAACAGGTGGCCGGGGGGGGCAGGAACAGAGCATGCCTCAGAGCGCAGCAGCAGAGGGGCAAGGGGCACTGCTGGCCCCACGCGACACACCGTGGTACCCCCCCCCCCCTCAGTTTACTCTGTGCCTGCTCCCAGGAGCCAGGCCTGGGGGGACAAGGGCAGTGGTGCTCCTCTGTGGGCCACACCTGTGCCACCTGGCCAGGGGGGAGAGAGGATGCAAACAGCAGCCACCACCACCGCACCGCTGCCACCTCACCTCGTGCTGCTTGCCTGTGGCCGGTGGCAGGAAAGGTGCACAGGACACAGTGGTGTGGTGGTGGCCACCACGTGCAAGCCTCCCCTCCCCCCTGACTGGGGGGGCACTGCTGTCTTCACCCCCCTGGCCCTGCTCTGGGCAAGTGGCACGGCGGCGGCGATGCAGTGGTGCTGGCACGCAGTGGCCGCCACCGCAACCGCACCACTGCCAGCAGCTGCCTCCACACCACACCTCCGTTCACGTGTCGCAGTGGATCCCAACACCACTTCACCGCTGCTGCTGTGCCACGTGCTGCTTGCCCAGAGCAGGGGTGAGGGCAGCAGTGTCCCTCTGCAGGCCTCACATGCCTGCTCGGGCGTGGGGGGGAGGGCTCGCATGTGGCAGCCGCCACCACATCACTGGGCTGTGTCCCATGCAATTTTTCCACCACCGGCTGCAGGCAAGTGGTTCGAGGTGCGGTGGTGGTGGCAGATGCTACATGTAAGATCTCTCTCCCTTCCAGCCAGGCAGCATGTTTGTGGCCCGCAAAGGGGCACTGCTGCCCCCCCCCCCCC